AATTTCCTCTCCTTTCTCCCTCCCACAAACTGCTCTGAGGCAGTTTCTCCATACAGTTTGTCCAAAGACTTCCCCAATGATGTGAAAACACTCCTACCTAATGACTAGCTGTGTCTCTTCAAGGCTCACCATGAAGCAGAGACCAGCACAGTATACTCTGTCCCTTGGTATTACTTGTCATCTGAACCTTCTCTTTTCCTTCCCCTCACTGAGTCGATGCCCTCAGACTGCACCTCATAGATAAAATATCAGCACTTAATCCCTGCCTCAGGTTCTATTCAAGATAAACATTCCTTTGTATCTGTTTATTTTTGTACTTTAAAAGCAGGTTTTTACATTTATTATTGTTATATATTTCCTACCCCCCTTTTTTGCACTACAATCTAAGCTGAGTGATCTATTGCCAACTGGCACCAATTCTCCAAATCAAAGTGTACAAGAGAAACATACTTGTGTAATCCTCTTAAATAGAAGATATATCAGGCAATCTGTCTGTCTACTTCAGTTCCCCAGAAATAAAATAACTAGAAGGGCTACTGCTCCTCTTCCACTTATTTAAATTTCAGTTCTGGAAATTTCTTCAGCCTGTCTTTGGGCAGTGCAACAACCCCTTGCTTGATGATTTCCAGGACCTGTTTACTGACAGCTTAGCTCCAGCTTGTAGCAACCTTGAGCTAAACAGGGTGATTACCAGATCAATATTTTGCCTTATATCCTGAAATGAAGGGTGAGTTTGAAATTGTTCAAAGAGATCTCATTTGTAAAACAGTGCATACACCAAGTCTGGATCATGGTGAAGAGAATTTGGCAGGCAGGAACTGATGATCTCTAATGTCATTCAAGTCACTTCTTCAATGACATTTAAGTCTTGTGCATAATCTGGTAAAGGAACATCATTGGAACTCAGCAAACGTCTCAAGGTTTGTGTGGCTTGTTCTAGAACTTTGTTGTGTTTTTTAGACAGCAAGGAAAACAAACAGATTACCAGTTTATTATAGAAGGATATAACTCAGCCAGATGGAAGAGATGTATAGGGCAAGGTATGTGGGAAAGGGCATGGAGCTTCCATGCTCTCTGAGCATGCCAATCTCCCCAAACTGCTATGTGTTCACCAACCTGGAAGCTCTGTACTGTTGTTGTTTTTTTGTGTGTGTGAGGAAGATCAGCCCTGAGCCAACATCCGTGCCAATCCTCCTCTTTTTTGCTGAGGAAGACTGGCCCTGGGCTAACATCTGTGCCCATCTTCCTCCACTTTAGATGGGATGCCACCACAGCATGGCTTGACAAGCGGTGCGTCGCGTTGGTGTGCCGCCGGGATCCGAACCCGGGCTGCCAGCAGTGGATCGCGCACACCTAACCACTACGCCTCGGGGCCGGCCCCTGTACTGTTTTTTATAATACTTAGTTCTTTATCCTAAGTAGGAAATACTAATTTCACTAGTTAAAAGCAAACTATAGTTCAAAAAGTTGTAACTGGTTTTGAACTGTAGTAATAATGTTAATGATACATAATGGAAACAATATATTTATTCCATTATAACTAAAGGCTCTTAATGAGAAATTGAAGTATTTAAGAGTTTTCACCAAAAAGAGTCCATTCTGTCCCTGAGCCATAGCCTGTGGATGGGACATTTTACACTCAATAAGAAGAGAGTAGAAAGAGAAAGAGTCTCTAATGGTACTGAGAAAACTAGGATAATATAATGCCCTACAAACCAAGAGTGAATGTCAAGGAAGTGGTCAATCTTAAATGCTAAATATGGATAAATCAAGGAGAAAAAGAACAGAGAAAAATTACACAGTAGTAAACCACATCTCTTTTCTGCTAAGCCTTCTTGGGGATTTAGTCTATTGATCACTTTGGGAAAATCAGGGGAAATTAAAACAATTGAGATGTCCTACCTTCACAAGATCCATTCTACTTCTCTGCTTACCTCCTGTGTATATGAGAAACTACAGCCTCCTCTCTAGCGATGTCTATTGTCCATTCACTGCTCTAGCCAACTTCCACAACTTTTCCTCAAGAAAACCTCTTAACCCACTTTCCTTTATGTATCTGCTATAGCCTATCATGACAGAAAATAGCAGATGTAGCAATGAGTGTTGCCAGTGCTTGACATTTAATTTAGCTATTTAGAATGATGGCTCTCTTAATGATCCGAATAATCTAACTCACATACTGTTCAGGAGGGGGAAGTGACAGGGACACAACATCATTGACCATGCCTCCCTCCTTTGTTAACCTTTAAAATGCAAACTTAGGAATATTTTAGAGGTTAGCTTGATCTTCAAAAGCCTACGCCTATGGGGTAGAGCTTCTAGCAAAGGTTTTCAAGAGAAACATACTCAGCTGGCATGTTCCTTTGGCCCTCTGTCCCTTTACTTTCCTCCTCCTTTCTGTGGACACAATGCCTATAAGGATAGAGCCATGTTACAACCATAAAGACAAAAGCCACATGCTAGGGATAGTGAGTCAGAAAGCGAGGAGCCTAGTTCCTTGCTGACATTCTCAAATAGCTGCACAAGCCCTGGAGTGCCTACTTCTGGACTTACTTATATGAGAAAAACAATCCCCCTTTTGTTTAGTCACTATAGTTTGGTTTTCTGTTGCTTGAAGCACAACCCAGACATTTGATTGTCTGTGTTCCCCACTAGATCATAAGATGTCGGATACCATGTCTGTATCTGCTACCTGCGTAAAATAGGAAGCTCTCATAGCAAGTAAGAGAGGACTCAACTCAAAACTGCTTTAAAGTGTAAGAAAGTTTAACAACTCACATAACTGGAGATCCAAAAGCAGGACAGACTTAAGAGTTGATGTAATCCCATTATTCCAGTTCCATTTCTCTGCTATTCTTTTGACCTCCCTTATGTGTTGACTTCATGCTCAGGTTGCCATCAAAAAGAACTGTAGCAATTTCAAGCCTCATATTCAAGCTCAACCATGTCCAGAGGGAGTGTGAATCACTTCTGGAAGTTCTCCTGGAAAAGCTTTTCTGGAAGCATCCTGCAAACTTATCCTTGCAACTCACTGGGGTGAACTGGGGAACATGCATGATCCTAACAAAGTCCCTGGCAAGAGGGCGATATTACCCTCAGGCCAGTCCAGACCACCCTTAAGACTGAGGATGCTGAGGTATGCCGACTATGGGTAAGAGGGAGGGATTCCTGAACAACATCAGGATTCTGTTGGGAAGGAAGAAGGAAGGAAAGGAAGCTGAGTAGTAAAGAACTCACTTTTTGTACTCCCAGCATCTTGTAAACATACTTAAAAAAAAAAACCTCCCCCCCACACAAAGTTTATGCTTTATATCTATGGTAAGTACCTTGAGAGAGGAAGCATGTTTAACTCTTGTTTATGTGTACTACTTCTACTGTCTAACTCAATATCCTGGATATAGTAGGAATTCAGTTTGTTGATTTTTTTTCTGTCAACAATTTTTTTCTCTCAGAGAGAAAATGGCCCAAATTATTTAACCTCCTGGATTCTTTTGAAGATCGTTAGATTTTCTTGCTAAGCTAATCAATTTCTTTGACTCCCAAGACTTAGAGCTGCTGGGGTAGACAGGAAAAATCTCAAATCAACAGATTTACACTTATTCAATAACTGTATTAATGTACTAGTGATTTTTTCTGGAAAAGCAAATCACAGTGGAGTCTTTAAAGTTCCTTTTTCTTTTTTTTTTTTTTTTAAGATTTTATTTATTTATTTTTTGCCCCCAAAGCCCCAGTAGATAGTTGTATGCCATAGCTGCACACCCTTCTAGTTGCTGTATGTGGGACTCGGCCTCAGGATGGACAGAGAAGTGGTGCCTCGATGTGCATCCGGGATCCGAACCCGGGGCCGCCAGCATCGCAGCGCGCGCACTTAACCACCAAGCCACAGGGCCAGCCCTAAAGTTCCTTTTTCTTAAGAAAATGAAGAAACTGGAGGGATGAAGATATTCTGCTTCTCTAGGGGCACACACAGCTGCCAAACTTAAAAGTTCCAAATCCTCCCCAAATTCCAAGATTCTTTACCTCAATAACCAAAGATGACTGATGATTATTTTCAATAGTTGATTTTTGAAGACATGAACGTTTTTATATCCATGGAGAGAGAGAAAAAGACACGCTTCTATACTAAAATTTCATCACTAGGAAAATTTGGATCGTCACTAAATTGACTCTTGTTACGGCTCTCCCCATCCTATTAAAAAATTTTTTTTTTTAGTTTGGGGCTGTAAGGTAATACTGACTTATTTCCTCTATTAATGTCTTCTCAGCAGGGCCATTGATATACTCACTACTTGACGACCACAATGGTTGGTATTGGTGAGCTTGGCTTGTAGAAAGTGCACTAATACTTAGGGATCCATAAACAAAAGTTCGAGTCTCAAGCCAACCATTGCTGTGACCAGGGGCTAACCACTGAACCACTAAGCTTCACTTGCAAAACGGGTGTTACACCCGACACTTTTGTCACGACCGGGACTAAATGAGATTCGGTACTTAAGCCAATTCCAGGCACACAATGTTAATTTAATAATTTAATACACTTGTTTGCTCAACCATTTATCGAAACGTTCCAACTAACAGTTAACTCCATTCGGCCTCCAAAGGGGCCAGGAATTGAGCAAAAAGAAGGAGCCTGCCTGGGGGACGGAGGTGGGGGGACCGCCGCCCTGTATGGCAGTCGGGGGTGGCTCGGACCCTCGCACCGAGACCGGCGGCCATAATGTTCGTCGCGGCCCGGGGACACCGACGGGGGCCTCGCCAAGGGCATCTAGCCCAGACTTCGCCCTCCGGGCTGTACACAGGCTGGAGTCATCACGACCCGGGCCACAGCGGCCACCTAGAGGCCCACCTGCCCGAAGAGAGGATGGGAGAACAGACAAGACGGCCCAGCCGCACGTCTCAGACTGGACAACTCCAGCAGCGCGCGCCTGACCCTTCCAGGCGGTTTCCGGACCTTCGGAACCGGAAACGGGTGCCCGGCGCGCGCCCGGGCGAGAGTGGGCGGGGCCGCCTTCCCGGAAGTGCTTGCAGCCTGGGCCTGGGGCGCGGCCCGGCGGTCACCGGCGATCCTCGGCCGTGCGGCGCTGCGGGAGGGGTCCTCGCGCCAGGCCGCGCTCTCGGTTCTCAGAGCCCCTCCGGGAGGCGGGCCCTATTAGGGCAGCAATCCCACGGTGGGCAGGGAGGGACCCCCGGCCCTTGCCCAGACTGCTGAGGGAAGAGAGTTTGGCCAGCCCGCGGGCAAAAGCGTCGTTCCCGGTCCCAGAGGGGAGGGGCGGGATGGACGGGCTCCTGAGTCCCAGGGAGTCCGCAAAATTCGTTGCAGAAAACAGTCGGGATGTGTTCATTGATGGCGGAGGCGTGCGGAGGGTGGCCGAGCTACTGCTCGCCAAGGCCTCGGGGCCGGCGCTGTGCGTGGAGGCCTGGAAGGCCCTTCACGAGCTGAATCCCAGGGCGGCCGACGAGGGCGCGGTCAACTGGGTGTTTGTGATAGACACGCTCAACTTCTCCTTCTGGTCGGAGCACGACGAGCACAAATGTGTGGTGGGGTACAGGGGGAGCACGTACAGTGGGTACTGGTCCCTGTGCGCCGCGGTCAACAGAGCCCTCGACGAAGGTTGGTGCGCGTTCTCCGGGTCGGACAGACAGCCTTTGAGGTTTCGGTTACTGGGAGGGTCCCGAGGAGCGGGCTGGGAGATGGAATAGTGTTAATACGGGGAACTTGAACTTCTTCATTGCCAATCCTTCTACTTAAAATAAAAGTAAGAGAAAAGGCTGGCAATGAATCTTTATTCAATGGGAAATGGTCCTAATATTTATCATTATCGCAGCTAAGTATAAAAGTCAGTGTTCTAAAGAACGCCGCTTTGATGACACCTGAACAAAGGGACAGCTGTTATAACACGTTTTACGCAGTAAAAATACATCTGATGTAATATGACAGTTGTTAGAAATGGATGAATAAGTACAGACAAGCAAATAGAAAATAAGGGGTCTGCTTCTGATTTTTTATTGTTCATCCACTTTTAGTGCATTCCTGTAACACTTACTTGGTTTCCTATTAATCGTACTTACAAGATACAAGGGTCCGATGGATGTAAAAGAGTGACATTTTCCCTCTGCATTTTCTTTTCTCCCTAAGGGGTACCAATAACGAGTGCTTCGTACTATGCCACAGTGACCCTGGATCAGGTTCGGCATGTCCTCCGTTCTGACACAGACGTTCCCATGCCTTTAATAGAAGAGAGGCATCGGATTCTCAATGAAACTGGCAAAATTCTGCTTGAAAAGTTTGAAGGTTCTTTTCTTAATTGTGTTCGAAAAAGTGAAAAAAGTGCACAGAAGTTAATGAATCTGATAGTTGAAAGCTTTCCTTCTTACAGAGATGTGACTCACTTTGAGGTGAGTTGCTTCTGTTGGGGATTTTAGAATTCTTAACTGTCTTCTGGTAGTTAACTCTTTTACTTCCAGAACCTCTTTTGAGAATAAAAACTTAAATTCTGAAGTTCATTCCTTATGGATGAGGAACAGTAACAAAATTGTTAAACAGTGTTTCAAAGACAGTACTCCTCTTCTGTTTTCTAATCAGTGTATTTTCTTTATTCTTTTGTCCTTTTTTCTGTGTCCTTTAAAAATGTTTCAAACCTAAAAAACACTGGACCTTCAACATGATGTCATTTAGGGATAATGAGGTCCTTTTAGTACTTCAAAAAATTTACTTCATTGGATGAAAATCAGAATGTATACTGAATTCTCTCTAATTAAAAGTATTTTTTGCAAAGTTCCAATGTATATATATATAGTCTATGTGTTTTCTTTTTCATGCACAGGGTACTTTAACAGCATTATTTGCTGTATGGTACAGAAAAAAAATTTAAGTAGATATACTCTTAAAATGGTGAACATTTTGTATACCCTCCCAGTGTACACCTGGATTTTGTTTTTGTAAACTTCTTTTAGAATCCGTTATCACTGTGTTTTAACTGTGACGTAGAATTGAAAGCAACTTCAGAGGAATCACACAGTATAAATCTATTGAATAAGTTAATACTTATGTCAAGTTGAAGTTTTAAAGCCACACTTTTGTAATCCCAGTTCAACAACTAAAATTACCAGTAATATTGTTTAAATTGCTCTTTAAGATTTACAGAGTGTTTGTGCATACACTCTCATTTGGTCCACAGAACAGCTCTATGGGGCCTAAGGACAAGGAGCATTATTGTTCCGTTTGCTGACCAGGAATCAAAGTCTAAAAAGAAAGGTTAACTAGTTTATCTTAGGTTATTTAGTCAGGAAATAGCTTGCTTTTCGATCCTACTATAAAGTGAGAGATGTCTGATTATGAATGTTAAGAGTCTTTTAATTGCAAGTGACAGACACAAAACTAGAAAAAACTTAAGCAGAAAGAAGAATTTCCGGGTGGGTATTGGGAGGAGGAACATCCAGGGTCAGGAACTCAGTGCCATGAGGATTCAGTCTCTCCTCTTCGCTTCTGTTGGCTCCCTTTTTCTCTTACTTGCAGACCAACTGTCTCCATGAAGTAGAAAAGGGCTGTGAATTTTGCATCTTACTGCTTCAGCCACCAGGGAGAGAGAGAGGGACACGCTCTTTCTCGGTTCCTGTTGTAAAACTGGGCAAGGGCTGCGTGAACTGGCGTAGATTATTACCAATTAAGTGTGGCTGCGGGTGGGGGGTGGGGGGCAGGGGGAGTGTGGATGGGGCAGAGCAATTCCTAAAAAAGAGGCCCTAGGCTGCTGTTGAACTTCATTCTGTTCTGACTAACCATTTTGCTAATGCAGAGTACTTGGAGGTTTATCTGTATCTTCAAAGTATATCATTTCAGTCTTGTTTTTCAAGAAATTATGGATCAAGAGTCTTGGACCATCATTCAGGCCATCTAAATATATTAAACAGTGTATAAAAGAAATCAAACTGCCATTCATGTGACTAAGAATCCATGTATTCCAGAATCGACATGGTTGTAATAGAAGGGTTGATAATAACTTTAAGATGACTTCAGGATGGGCCAGCCCCGTGGCTTAAGCAGTTAAGTGCGTGCGCTCTGCTGCTGGCAGCCTGGGTTCGGATCCTGGGCGTGCGCAGACGCACCGCTTCTCCGGCCATGCTGAGGCCGCGTCCCACATACAGCAACTAGAAGGATGTGCAGCTATGACATACAACTATCTACTGGGGCTTTGGGGGGAAAAAATAAATAAATAAAAATCTTTAAAAAAAAAAAAACATGACTTGAGGATGAAATGAATTCAGGACACCATGCTGCTTATTTACTTTCAAGTTGTCCTGAGTTTTTGTTTTTGTGGAAGAAAGGAGTGAATTTTTTTTTAGATAATAATATTGAGTAAGCATTTGCTGAGTTTCTATTTTATTTACAGCACAGTGCTTTTGATTTGCTTTGCTTAAAAGTTCAATTTTTAAAAACTGTACCAGGATATAGATTAATTTTAAGGCTGATACATTTTAAAATGAAAATTAGTACCTGAACCATTTCCCATCAGTACTGTACTCATTTCTAAAATACATTATTATGGAAAAATCCCCAAAATGTAATAACAATCATACTTAAGAATTTTAACACTTTCTTAAAAGAGTATTATATTTTTTTCATTTATTTTTCCATAAGATTATCATTGATGTTACTCTAAAGCACTATATTTCTGTAACCCCTATGATTCCTAACATAACACTGAGCACGTAGTGGGTGTTCACTTAATGCTTTGATTGGTCAGTTTACGGGTATCTTTGCATATTAATTTTACAGATGCACAAATAAAGCATTCGTGCCATTAATTCCAAATCTGGAGGATTTCTAAAGAACTTTTGGGACTGCTTTAGAAATTCAGGAAGTGTTAAAATCAAATATATCTTTTTATCCATATTTTAAAAATTTCAAATTGCAAAAGTAAAATGTATTAATTATAGAATTTGGGAAGTACAGAGAAGCAGTCGCTATTCTACCAAGAGGTAATGACTGTTCACAGTTTGGTCTTTTTCTCTGTGTGTACACGTGTATACCTATGGGCAGGGGAGAATTAGGATCCTGCTGTATAAACTGTTTTAAAATTTAACATATTATGGGGGCCAGCCTGGTGGCATAGTGGTTAAGTCCGGGTGCTCTGCTTCCCATGGCCTGGTTCCTGGGCGCCGACCTACACACATAGAGGAAGATTGACAACAGATGTTAGCTCACGGACAGTCTTCCTTGCAAAAAAGAAAGAAAGAAAGAAAGAAAAAAACGCTTGCTCTATTTTGTATGTGGGACACCACCACAGCATGGCTTGATGAGCAGTATGTCTAGGTCTGCACCTGGGATCCAAACCTGTGAACCCTGGGCCACCAAAGCAGTGCATGTGAACTTAACCACTTTGCCACCAGGCCAGCCCTGAGGAACTATATTTTTAACCTCTTCAAGTGACTCTGATTTAGAATATGCAGTAACTATGTAAAAATCCTAATTAATAAATTAGCTTCCTTAGGCTGTCATCTTTACTCTGACATACTGATAAATATACATGGAAAACAGGAGCTTTTTTTTTTTTTAGGGTTTTTTTTTTTTTTTTTTGAGGAAGATTGGCCCTGGCTAACATCCCTTCCAATCCCCCTCTTTTTGCTGAGGAAGATTAGCCCTGAGCTAACATCTGTGCCCATCTTCCTCTACTTTGTATGTGGGATGCCACCACAGCATGGCTTGATGAGCGGTGCTTAGGTCCACACCCGTGATCCGAACCTGTGAACCTCAGGCCGAGAAGCAGAGCGCATGAATTTAACCACTACGCAGCTGGGCTGGCCCCACAGGAGCTTTTTTGATATTTTAATTGTTATGTTACTCTTAAGCATTTGTAATTCTTGCCCTTTCTAATTTGTTCATGATAAATTTGTTGAAGAAAATCAACTCATGGTCATAGAGTTTTTTCATTGATAATTATTTTTTAAAGGTACTATTTTGAAAATGTTTTACTCACAAAGCAATATTATGGAACATATAGGACATTGTTATTTTGGGATTTACTGGTATTTTCAGTGATATCAGTTAATATTTTAGAAACAGAATTTGATTACTAAAATCATTTGATTACTGAAATCATTTGATTACTAAAACCATATCAGCTTAAGAAAATGTTTTATAGGTAATTTGAATTTATTTTTGGATTTTTCACTTGAATCTTATTGTTTTTTTTAAGTTTTAAGGGTATTAGAATCTAATCTTTCTGATATACTTGTTGGCTACCATGGAAACAGTGTAACAATTTGTGTTTTGTTAGATGCTAGCATTTTTGTTATTTAAGTCCCGTTTCTAGATTTTTCCGTTTACTCTATGAATCTTGTTAGAAATAGGAGACAATATCTTCTGTCTATTATAGTAAACATTGTGATGTAATAATTGTTTGATACACAGTTTTATTTTGTAAATTAAGTTTTATGCTTGCTGTTTAATAAAATAGACTTGTATTGGAAACCTAGTTACTATATAGAAGTTCAGTTTATATAGAGGAAAAATTGCCAGGTTGTCATGTTTTGATAGGTTTAGGAATATAGGTTATTCCCAAATTATGTAAGGATACTTCTTAATGGTGATTTGTGCCCCCAGCACTCAATTTAATTTACGAACTTTATACTGTGTCAAAAAATGAGCATATATATTTGCCCTGGAAAACAAGGTACTGAATTTCTTGGTGGCCCTAGAAAATTTAATTTACTTATTAACAGGAGGTCTAGGTTGATTGCAATAGGGTATACCTTAAAGTTAAGCAATATTAGTTTATTTCTCATTTGCGCAGAGTATTATTGGAGTTTTTTTTTAGTAAATAAAGGAGTCTATAATATGATCTTAAGGAATTTTTGTGTGGAACCTTTCCTTGAAGAATTTCATTTCATTTTTTTTTTTTTTTTAAAGATTTTATTTATTTTATTTTTTGCCCCCCAAAGCCCCAGTAGATAGTTGTATGTCATAGCTGCACACCCTTCTAGTTGCTGTATGTGGGACTCGGCCCCAGGATGGACAGAGAAGTGGTGCCTCAATGCGCACCCGGGATCCGAACCCGGGCCGCCAGCATCGCAGCGTGCGCACTTAACCACCAAGCCACAGGGCTGGCCCTCATTTCATTTTTAATTTAATTATTTATGTCATTTACTTATTAAAACCTTCTCTGAGGCGGTCAAGATATATTTTGAGAACTAGTAATATTGATTATTCCCATTTAGCAGATAAGCAGTTATAAAAGATGACTTGAGGTTATTACCATTTGGTATTAGGACTAGGAATAGATTGTAATTATCTGTTTGTGTTTTTCCATAGGCTGTGCTGATCTGCATTTGTAATTTTACAGAGAATTTTTGAGTTAAATTATAACCCACTATCTTATAATGCTTGGTTAAATTTATTTCTTCCACGTATAAATACAATTGGTAGTTTATTTTATTATATGGGCTTACATATTGACTTGGACCATTTCCAAAAATGGTAGACTGGATAAATTCTGGCTGTGTATCAGTTGTGTCTTTATCTCTGAAATAAGTTAATCATATTATCTGAAAGGAAACAGTTAAATGAATGTTGTGATTCTCATCAGAGGTGAGTTTAAGGATGATTAGTTTCCTCTTTATACTCTTCTGTGTTTTGTACAGTTAACATGAATTATGTTGCAATCAGAAAAACATATATATATATCTTTTTTGTTTGTTTTGTTTTGTTTTTAAAGATTTTATTTATTTATTTTTTCCCCCCAAAGCCCCAGTAGATAGTTGTATGTCATAGCCACACATCCTTCTAGTTGCTGTATGTGGGATGCGGCCTCAGCATGGCCGGAGAAGCGGTGCGTCGGTGTGCGCCCGGGATCCGAACCCGGGCCGCCAGCAGCAGAGCGCGCACACTTAACCACTAAGCCATGGGGCTGGCCCTATATATATCTTTTTAATTTAAGAAACTTTCTAAAGAAATACTATCTAGCCATTAAAAATAATAAGCAGGAGGATGACAGTGACACAGAAATATGTATGTGAAGTAATGCCATTGAAAAAGAACACGAAATAGTACCGTGATTACATAAATTGTGTTGTATGCACCTTGAAAAACATAGGACGTAAACTTGGAGTGATAGAGATAATTTAATATTTATTAGCCCCCCTTTTTTTTCTGTAAAAGGTCTATAAATTCTTACCAACAGAGTAAGATTATTCTCCTTGAAAAATGTTTTCAATGTGTGCCCTTTTTTTAATAGCATGCTTAAAGCTTTCAGATACCCAGATAACATTTATATTCTCTTCATTCATCAGGGGAAAAGAATTTCTTTTTACAAACGGGCCCAAATCCTTGTGGCAGATACATGGAGTGTGTTAGAGGGAAAAGGAGACGGCTGCTTTAAGGACATCTCCAGTATCACCATGTTTGCTGACTACAGATTACCTCAGGTTCTTGTTCACCTGGGAGCCCTGAAATACTCGGATGAGCTACTGGAGAAGCTTTTCAAAGGTTTGCCAGCTTTATTAAGACATTCCTTGTTATACTATGACTTGTTGAATCTCTGTCTAATTTCTTTCACAAAAGCTCCTTTCCTTAAAAAAAGCACTGTTTACTGTTAAAAGCACCTGTAAAGAAAAATGCAAGGGCAATTAAAATATAGAGAAAATTGATTTTTGTTGTTTACACTGTGGAGTGTGGATATTGTGGGAAATTGCGCTATTTGGACATTATAATTTCAGAGCCTCATAATAAAATGAAACCTAAATTTATGTTACATGAAGGTGTGCAACACTAAGACAGTTCATCAGATGTAGTATTGAAGAGTGTTAATTAAGCTGAAGAGAGCACTACACTGTGAAATATAAAGTGGGCTGAGAGGTGGGTAATATGTACTGGATTTCAAGTCAGGAGGCTCCAAGGTCTGCCACTGGGTTATCTTGCACAAGTCACTCACTGTTCCAGGCTTATTTATTTACCATTAATGGATTTGACTGTTGAGTCTCCAGAGTGGGAGCCTTATTATAATATATGAGTATAGATAATTGTGTTTGTGTGAAAATTAGCTTTTTGTTTTTTAAATATTTCTTTGTTTAAGAAAAATAATTATATTGTATAATTTTCATGTTAATCTCTTTTGGGTGCAGTATTTTCAGCTGCTTTTTTCTTCATATTTAAAAGAAAGTAGTTTTTATGACCGAATAATTTTCTCTTGTGAAACAGATTTCAATCACCTAAAATAACAATAACACAGAATATAAAGGTACCATTATTCCTATGGTTGCTTCTACCAGGTTTTTATGCTGCCTTGGGCAATCCATTTTGTCCCTCTGTTTCCTTATTTGAAAAATAACAAGCTATTTTATGTCGTAATGCTCATGTCCTGGGTTATTAATTGTTGGATACCTTTAAAAGGGACAACATCTAGCAGTCAGGGCTTTTACATACAGCCATACTCAGCTGATCTTTTTTTTGCCGTTGTATACGCCACTCATTCCTATCTCTGAACACTCTCTTGCCTGGTTTCCCTCACCCAAATTTTCTTTTTTTATGTCAAATCCTACACATCCACAAAGCCTTAGCTCAAATGCTACCTCTTCCATATAGCTTTTCCCGACTCTTCATGATTTATCCATCTTCTTCTCTTGAATTTTTATAGCACCCAACTGTCTGTGCTACTGTGAGAAAAACCCTAGTGAGAAGGGATCGTCCAGCATAGTTGAACCGAGTTGTCTGAATTTTCTTATGCTGTTTCAGCTACAGAGGCTCTTTTCCAGATGTCCAGCTGCAGCCGTTACTGCCTCCGTAATGTCCAGCTTCTAAAAGGATACTCTGCGATCCTTAGCTGGTTTGACGTAGGGTGAACAAATTCCTTTGCCCCTTAGTTTATTTAAGCAAAGGTGGATTTTTTTTTTCCCAAAATGTACTTTACTAGCAAACTAGAGGAGAGGCAGAAACTATAAATGTAAAGGAGTGCACACACAAGTATAGTACACTGATTTTTAAAAACTATCTTAAGTGAAATCTAGAACCAAGTGGCTTAACTAGATGAGGTAGAACCTTCCTTAACTGGCCTCCAGTGACTCTTCTTCCAGACCTGAGGATGTGCTGCACTTACATTCCTTTTCCTCTCCCCTCTTCTGGAATCTCCAGGACAGCTCTTGGAAAGCCTACCCAGACTTCTGTCCATTTTATCTTTAACCCATGTCTTTACCTAAGGCATATTTTTTGGCCAGTTATAAAGACTAACAATGTAGTTTGGCTACATTTAGATTCTTCACTGTGATTCTAGGGCCGACTTTCAGGCCTCACACATTGGCCATATTACCTTCCTTGACTCTAACCTGTGTTTGTCAGTCCTCTCAAATGGTTTCATTCTTTTTCTGTTTCAAAGTCCATGTCCTGGGCAGGCCCATGGCTTAGCGGTTAAGTGTGCGTGCTCCGCTGCTGGCGGCCCGGGTTCGGATCCCGGGCACGCACCGACGCACCGCTTCTCCGGCCATGCTGAGGACACGTCCCACATACAGCAACTAGAAGGATGTGCAACTATGACATACAACTATCTACTGGGGCTTTGGGGGAAAAAATAAATAAATAAATAAATAAATAAATAAAATTACAAAGTCCATGTCCTATCCCATACTATAAATTGGTGTATTAGTTACTTTATTAGCTTCCTAAGGCTGAGATAAATTACCACAAATTGGATGGCTTAAAACCACAGAAATTTATTCACTCACAGCTTTCAGAAGTCTGAAATCAAGGTGTTAGCAGGGCCATGCTCCCTCTGAAGGCTCTGGGAAGAATCCTTCCTTGCCTCTTTCTAGCTTCGAGTGGCTCCCAGCAATCCTTGGCATTCCTAGGCTTGTAGCCACATCACACCAACCATGGCCACCTTCCCTGTGTGACTCTCTGTCTCTTTGTATCCTCTTCTTTTCTTAAGAGGATACCAGTCATGGCATTTAACGGCCACCCTAATCCAGTATGACCTCATCTTAACTTAATTATATCTGCAAAGACCCTATTTACAAATAAGGCCACATTCACAGGAACCAGAAGTTAGGACTTGAATGTATCTTTTTGGGGGACACAGTTCAGCACTACAGTTATTTATTGCTCTGTAACAAATTATGCTGAAAGTTAGTGACTTAAAACAACAGACATTTATTATCTCACAGTTTCTGTGGGTCAGGAATCTGGGTGCTGCGTAACTGGGTGCCTTTGGCTCAAGGTTGCAGTCAGGCTGTCATCTGGGGCAGTGGTCCCATCTAATGACTCTAGTTGGATGTGGTATCTGCCTCCAAGGTCACTGTCATGGTTCATTTGGCAGTTCTGACAAGTTGATAGTCAAGTTTGGAGGAATTGGTTAACAAGAAAACTGAAGAGGAAGGGATGGATTTGTATGCTAGCACCTGGGGCAGAGTAAGGTAATGGAGGGCACAGCTTGTGTCTGTTCTTCCCCCTGCCCCAGTGACCAGTGCCTAAGCCCTAGGGAGACATGGAGGGAGGGGACACAAGTAACACTACTTAAGATCTCAGATGACAGAGTGGAACCCAGTGGGACTGGGCATTTTCCCTACGTCTCAGTGGATCACAGTGCTGGTTGGGTACTGTAAAGCTCTATGCAAGGGTTCAGATTGGTGGCCAGAGGCCAAATATAGCCTGCAGATGTGTTTTGTTTGGACTGAACAGTGCTTTAAGCAATTTTTAATTAGTTGTCAACACTTGAAAATTAGGTTTCACATGAAAAATCAAACTTTCTGACTTCTCTTGTAAAAATAGAGATATATGAGAACACTGGGTCTACCTTTAGATAGGGCAGTCCATACTCTCCAGCTCACCACAGTTTGCAACTAGCTGCTGCATTCACTTACTCTTTCTGCCTGATCCTTATAGGCAGTTGAGTTGATGAGCCCAACTCCAGTCTCCATGGCAAAGCACAGCAGTGCCCACCCTGCAGGATCAGATATGCCCTGGAGATGGGCACTGAATAGACTGCGGGTCCTGTGGGAGCTCTCAGCTCCATATTCAAGCAGAGCTGACTAAAGGATCCTGAATCTAGAGAACGATCATGGTTTTCCTTGCTCAAGTTAACAACTTTGATTTCCCAGGTTCTCTTTGATGCATCTAGGGTATCCCCAAGACAGCGTTCAGTTCTCAAGTGGGGAAGGGAGGTGCTATTTATTTGGCTCCCTAGGAGTCCTCCAAATTTTGCAATAATATTTTTTTTCCTGGCATCAAACCCAATTTTAAATCTTTTCTTTTCAATGATTTAATAATCTTGCTGTCATATTTTACAATTTATGGTTACTCCATATTCATTTAGCAAATATTTATTGGGGAGCTAGTATGTGCAAGGCGCTATGCTAGGTCCTAGGGACACTGAGACAAACAAGCCAGACATGGTCCCTGTCCTGGTGGAACTTAACTTGCAGTTTTGAATTAATGTCTGAGTTTAGAAATGGTTTAAATTACTGAAAATAAAGTCTGAGGTTTACAGTTTTAAAATGAGTACTATTTAGGAAGCTGGCCCTGTGGCATAGTGGTTAAGTTTGGTGCACCCCACTTTTGCAGTCCGGGGTTCACAGGTTTGGATCCTGGGCATAAACCACCACTCATCAAGCCGTGCTGTGGCAGTGACCCACGTACAAGACTAGAGGAAGATTGGCACAGTTGTTAGCTCAGGGCCAATCTTCCTCACCAAAAGATATAATAAAATAAAAAGTGTCTGGTGCAACTGAGGACCTGAATTTAAAAATAAATAAATAAATAAAATGAGTACTATTTAAATACTGTGTTTTGTTCTACAGTAAAGTTCTGAGTAGGTTTTATATCATTGACTCTTCATGCTTCTTGCTCTGTTTTTTCTCCCTTGCAGGAGAAATGCTCTCATATGGGAATAGGCAAGAGGTGGAAATCAGAGGCTGCTCACTTTGGTGTATTGAGCTGATCCGGGATTGTCTTCTGGAGCTTATTGAAAAAAAGGGTGAAAAAACTAGTGGAGAGATCAATTCCATTCTTCTGGATTATTACTTATGGGACTATGCCCGTGATCACAGGGAAGATATGAAAGGAATTCCGTTTCATCGCACACGTTGCATATATTATTGACTCAAAGTGTAAACTGATCCAAAGAAAACTCCTTGCATTTTTATATTACATAATCATTTGTATAATTTTGCTTTGATATTAAAAAAAGGTGATAGAGGTTACAGCAATAAGAAAATTGAATACCCAGTCTCACTTAAAATAATTTTCCTGACATATCACTCTGTATTCCCAATTTTATCCTTTGTCTGCTTGTTTAATTTCACCTATATTTTCCTTTTCTGTGGACACGTGACAGAAATAGTGAAGAAACTTTAATGCTTTCTTTAAATCTCAGATTTCTTAAAATTAATCATGCCTTGTAATGTGATTAATCTTCAGTGATAATATTTCATCCATTCAGTTGGTATCTTTTCTCAAGGTGTAGTAATTTTCTGTATACCTAATCATTTGATATGAGGGGGTAGGGTCTTTGCTGTATGAATGCTGCTGCTCTTGTAAAAATCCATCTTGACAGCTTATTTTAAACTTTTTATTGGCAATTACAGTGGATTTTGTACATAGGGATTTTCAATTTATGATATCTGTCTGTCTAGTAGTTTTTTCCAGAGTAACGACATTGGAATTGAATAAAGATTTTTAAAACTTCTCTTAAACCTGAAATGGATTATTTCATTAAAATAGAATTTACCACATATAATTTTTAAAGGTTTACAATGAATTTGATTATTTACTTTATGTTGCAGAACTCTCATTTCCCACCTTCACCTCCACCCTCCTTCTAACATAATTTTTTTCTTTTCAGACGTGAGGACCTTAGTTTTTGTTTTGTTTTTGTTAATCTTCTTTGTCAGCCCGCTGTGACTTTGTGTGAGTCAGAAAAAGGCGTCCTTTCCCCAAGCACTTTACTGCCATCTGCTGGAAACTTCTCATAATCACCTCACAAATGACAATGACTGAATGTGAATGGGGCCCCCTCGAGTTGTGCCCTGCACAACGTGCACCGCCGTAAATGGTGGTCCTGTATCTATCCCTCCCCTAGTGACTCGGGACGATGATCTCATCCCCAGTTCCAGAGGTAGACTCGAGTTAATATGAATGGTTTCTTATTCATGATAATCCCATCCTCTGCCTGTGATTGCTTTAGTAAGGGGCATGTAATCTAGTTCTGGCCAGTGACACTGGAGGGGAAGTCTGTAGGGAGGCTTCTGGGAAAAGATTTCTTCCCTTTTAGGAAAGAAACATAGAAGAAGGTCCCTGTTCTTGCTCTGAGCAATGTTGTCTAAACGTCACACGGGAAGCTGTAGTAGCCACTGTGTGGAGCCAGAGCCCACCACGCCTGCCATGCTGCACCAACCCTAACTATGGACTTCACTCCTGAGATAATAAACACATTACCTTACCCTTTCCATCATTTCGAACTGGTTTTTCTGTAACTTGTAGCAGAAAGTTTCATAACTAATAATTTCCAATTTAACCCGCTCTCTTGAGGACCCAGGAAGCAGAAGTGAAAACAGTCACCTGGACCTCAGGCCTCGCTGACTCCTCCTGCCACCCTTGCCACTCGTCTCGCTCTCCTCCCTACCCCTGTTCCCTTTCTCCCCCTTCTTCTCTTTTCCCTCTTCCCCCTCCTCCTTTTGTCCTCTTCTCACCTCTCCCTCTCCTCTCCCTTCTCCCCTTCCTCCTCTAAGGTCAGCCAGCTTTGGGCTTCCTGCTTCCCCACAGTTTATTTCTCCATCGTGTAAAAGACAGGGAAGGCAGTCCAGAGCTGTATGGTGCTCCAAGATCCAGCTGTCTTTTCTCATGTACTACCGAGCAGAGCCTGGACTTGTGATTCAAGACGTCTACATTCTAATCTAGGCAGCAGGATTGAAGAAGCAATGAAATTGAAGAGTGCAAGGTTGACAGGAAGGCTCTAGCAGCTACCACATGCATTTTTGCTTTCATTTAACTGACTAGAACTTAGACTGCAAGGGCTGGCCTGGTGGTGTAGTGGTTAAGTTCATGCACTCCACTTCGGTGGCCCGGGGTTCGCTGGTTCGGATCCTGAGCGTGGCCTTACCACTTATCAAGCCATGCTGAGGGCGGCGTCTCACATAGAGCAACTAGCAGGATGTACGACTATGCCATACAACTATCTACTGGGGCTTTGGGGAGAAAAAGGGAAAAAAGGAGGAAGGTTGGCTAACATCTCTTAGCTCAGGGCCCATCTTCCACAAAAAAAAAAAAAAAAAAAGGAACTTAGATCACAACTAACTGCCATGGAGGCCAGGAGAGTAGTCTCTATTCTGGGCATCTGGTACCAGCTAAACTATGTAAGTAGTATGGATGGATATTGGGAAACAGCTGCTTTTCACTGCCATGCATGGATTTTATAATTTCATACCTGATACAGACTAAGAATTTAAATTAAATAACATTTCACCTAATGGTCTTAATATTGATGATCATTTTCCAGATCTGTTATTTCATTAGGGATTGCAAATGGTAATGTTCTAATTCTAATATTCTTGGTTTTGTGGGCCTTGTGCAGGGATAATTTCTCTCGGTGGATTTCAGGTTAGTCTGGGGAACCTAATGAACGTGGAGTCGGCTCCTGAAGTTCCAGAAGATGAGAATGTAGAAATAGGACCTGGAAAGTTTTTTGGTTATGTTGATTCATTCTGCATACTCTCTTGAAGACAATTAAGGAAAATGTGCACAGCTCCTGGAGGCCCCTCATCACAGCCCCTTCATTCAGAGAAGTCCTTTGTTCACTGTCACTAAACCAGTTCCTTAGCAGAGATTAAACATTAGTTCTAATTCCTTGGTGACTCAGTTTCCTTTAATAGCTTTTGCTTTGTAACAAATTAAGAAACATTTTGGCTTTTTTTTTTTTTAATAGTTTTTAACATTGTGAAATTTTAAGTTGTACATTTTTGTTTGTCCATCGCCATATATATGTCTCCCTTCACCCCTTGTGCCCACCCCCCACCCCCATTGCCCCTGGTAACCACAATGCAGTTTTCTCTGTCCATGTGTTGGTTTATATTCCACATATGAGTGAGATCATACAGTGTTTGTCTTTCTCTCTCTGGCTTACTTCACTTAACATAATACCCTCCAGGCCCACCCATGTTGTTGCAAATGGGGCGATTTTGTCTTTTTTTATGGCTTAGTAGTATTCCATTGTATATATATACCACATTTTCTTGATCCAATCATCAGTCGAGGGACACTTAGGTTGCTTCTACTTCTTGGCTATGGTGAATAATGCTGCAATGAACATATGGGTGCATAAGCCTCTTTGGATTGTTGATTTCAGGTTCATTGGATAGATTCCCAGTAGTGGGATGGCTGGATCATAGGACATCTCTATTTTTAATTCTTTGAGGAATCTCCATACTGTTTTCCATAGAGGCTGCACCAGTTTGCATTCCCACCAGCTGTGTATGAGGGTTCCTGTTTCTCCGCATCCTCTCCAACATTTGTTGTTTTTTGTCTTGGTGATTATAGCCATTCTAACGGGCATGAGGTGGTATCTTAGTGTTGTTTTGATTTGCATTTCCCTGATGATTAATGATGTTGAACATCTTTTCATGTGCCTATTGGCCATCTGTATATCTTCTTTGGAGAAGTGTCTGTTCATTTCCTCTGCCCATTTTTTGATTGGGTTGTTTGATTTTTATTGTTCTGTTGTGTGAGTTCTTTATATATTATAGAGATCAACCCCTTGTCGGATGTATGTTTTGCAAATATTTCATTAATTCTTCTTCAGCTGCCACCTGATGGTTTGCCTCCCTCTACAAACTCTAGTAATTTAGCCACAGTACTGTGTCAGTGTCCTCCAAGCAAAGTAAACAGGTTGGGTTAATTCCTTGTTGCAGCATAGGACATCTCTGTAAGAGGATGATTTGTGTGGGGCGGGGGGGCATGGCATCTAGGGAAGCAGGGTTCTTTCTAGATTGGATGCTGTCAAAAACAGGAGCAATTCTACCACTGGCTATCTCATCAATCTTATCTATAAGGAGGGCAGGCTAGAGCAAGGAAAGAGCTGAAATTGGTAAGAGGCAGCAATCACTCATTTTAGCCAAGACAGAAGGATGTTTGGTACTGTGTATATAGTGCAGTGGCCTTGTTTTTTTCTGTACTTAGACAAAATTATCAAGTGGTCTTATTTTGTCTCACTTTGTCATATTCTCTGAGTAACCTAGTCTGATGTTGGTATTCTGTGAGATTATGTTCAAAAGGAGAATAATACGTCACAGCTGTGAGTGCCAGCCAGCTCTTGTCAGGAGCAGCTTTTGTTCCTTTCCCAACATTTAACTTCCCCCTAATTAGCACTAAAGAAATTAATAGATTTCATTCAATTCAATTCAGAAATCATTTATTGAGCTCCTTCACTGTGCCCCTCCCCTGAAGCTGAATAAGTAATGGCTTAATAATCTGGCTGAGGAGGCATAGCTGTAAAGACAGTATGTGACCCAGGAATCAGCCTTGAGACAGCTACACCTTCCTTTTCCTTATAACTCTGTGACCCATCTCTCTCTCTCACTTTTGAGAAAGTGAAAAAGTGAAAAGATCACTTTTTCCTTTTTTTTTTACTTCAGTTTTTGATTCTCAGCTCTTTGGTGGATGCTATTGACGAAGACAAAACCTGAACAAGTAAGGAAATTGATATTATTCAGTCTATTGCAATATGAAGAGCACTCCAGGTCCAAAGGTGGGAGTCTCTCATAAGGAGGACTAGACAAGTTACAGGTCGGGGGACTTACAGGTGGGGTTGTTTTGCAAGTAGGAGAAGTCTCAATCAGGTGACTGAACTGGAAATGTTTACCTCTGTAGCTAGTTTCAGATGGACAAAGAGTTCTAATCTCAGCTAATCATTCACGAGACAAGGAGTGAGGAATTGGAGAGTCTGTGTCTGCCCTTATCAGCAGGTTTAGGCAAAAGAGGAAAGATTTGTGTTTGGCCTTGTCATAGGTAAACAAGGGAGACATGAGAAAGAGTCAACAGTTAGTCTTATCTAAGTCACATCGACAAGGGTGGTCTTTTGGGTAAACCCGTTTCCCAGAACAATAAAGGGTGGGGGATTTCAGAAAACAAAAATTTGGAGGGATTTCTTAATGTCACTGTTTTCCAAAAGTACAGAGCTCAGGTCAAGTTCAGCCTGCTACCGTCAACCTTTTCTTGTGCTTGTGCATTGGTTGGGAACAAGGTAGGCTGCTACGGCCCAGGCAACATTTTTCTTTGCTCATTCATTTTATTTGCTGCCAAACCGTGGGAGGTAATGACCCTCAGAGTAAGAAACTCCAGAATTGTGAGTTCCCCACAGTGTAAAATGTTCAGACTCAAAATCCAAGGGTCTGGGTTCTCCTAAGGGGAAGCACTAGATGCTCACTGCCTCAGTTCTGTTGTCAACTTTTAAACAAATCAGTTAAAATCTCTACGCCTGTTTAATTTACATATTAAATGGGATAATCTGACTCTGATTTTCTAATTCTGCTTCCAGTTTTCTTTTTGTATCATTTTATAGAATGTATGCATATCTTGAC